AGTAAAACTGCACTCCACAGAGTTTTCATGGCTGTGACCTTTCAGAACCAGATCACCAGGCCTTTCTTCCAAGGTGTCCCTGGGTTCATTTGAACCACCAAACTTTCCCTTAGTAGCTAGGAACTGAACAGTTTACACCACCCAGGCACACCCTTCTCCCCCACTAAACCAAAACCAAACTCACTGCCGTTGAGTCAGATCCAACTCATAGAGACCCCTCCTCAGGTTTCCAAGGAGGTATCACTATGGAAGCAGACTGCCTAATCTTCCATCCAAGGAGTGGCTTGTGAGTTTGAACCACCAGCCTTCTAGTTAGCAGTTAACTGCCTTAGGCCCTAAGGCACCAGAGCTCCCCTTCTCCCCCACAGCAGTGGTGTAATCCAATTAGTTCTACTACTAAGAAAGGGTCTCAAAGACAAAATAAGCCCCTGCCTGCTGATATCCAGAAAGAAATGGACCCATCAGGGCCTGCTTGTGGCAGCAGTCCCCTGGCTTCTGCTCTCTGGACTCCAGGTTTTCCACCTGGGCTTGGGTGAGTGTCTAACCCTCCCTGTGACCCCACTCACCCTGGGGACAGAGGGCAGCAGTGGTTGCTTGGAGGGTTGGTGAGATAGGTTGGGTGAAGCTGGGATGCCAGGGGCTAGGGAATATGTGTAATGGAGAAATTATGAAGAAGGCTCCAAGTCCCCAGCAAATGCTCCACTGTCCCATCAGACTTCACTAGCCCTTCTGAGGGTGGGGACCTGTGAGGCTGTGCTTGTTGCATGCCCATGAAGCTGGCCAGATCCTCAGTCAACACTTTGCCTCTATTTAAAACAAACCAAACTCACTGCCATCAAGTTGGATCTGACTCACAGTGACCCCTCTTGGGTTTCCAAGGCAGTATCACTATGGAAGTAGATTGCCCAATCTTCCTTCTGAGGAGTGACTGGTGGGTTTGAACCACCAGCCTCCTGGTTGGCAGTCAATGCCTTAGGAATTACACCATTAGAAACTGTGAGGGGAATAATTACCACTACCCACTAAGGAGCATCCAATAGTTCTGTGTGCTAGCCATTTGCACACATTACCTCTACTCTTCACAATTTTGCATGGAAGGATCATCACTGTACAAATGAGGAAATTGAGGCTCAGAGATTTAAATACTTGTTCAAGGCCATAAAGCTAGTAAGTGATAGAACTAAAATTCAGTTTCATTTTCTCAGGCTCCTGTGCATTGTAGGAAACTACAATGCCTCCTCCAAAATGGCAGGCATCCTACCTAGGTCACCCAGTATTTAGCAATCCCTGAGAAGGAAGGTTGGGCAATCTACTTCCATAGTGATATCACCTCGGAAACCCAAGGAGGGGTTGCTATGAGTCGGATTCCACTCAACAGCAGTGAGCGAGCTCTGGTGCCATAGAGCCTAAGGCTTTTGACTGCCAACCAAGGCATTCGCCTGCTAACCAGAAGGCTGGCGGTGCCAGCCACTCCTCGGAGGGAAGATTGGGCAATCTACTTCCATAGAGATACTGCCTCAGAAACCCAAGGAGGGATTGTTGAGTCGCAATTGACTCGAAGGCAGTGAGTTTTGTTTTTTGGCTTTGGCTATATGTTCAGCACAGTGCCAGATCCCATGCAGAGATGCAGGCACTACCTCTAAAGCATATGGCATTTTACCAGCTATCTTAATTCTTTCCAGATTTTGTCTACCATGTACAGCTGAGCATCTCAAACCATTGTCTGTGCTAGACACTGAATTGTCAATGTCCCCATCCTTGCCCCCATTTGTAGTGGGAACCTGGTTCCTGGCCACATCTCATTGAACTAACTTCATCTTGGGAATTTGGAATAGGGATACAGAGGCTCTGTTGACCAGTAAAGTTAAAAGATGAAGAACTGGCCAAACCCCTTTCTTGGGAAGCCAGGATCATGAGTGAGTGACCTCCGATTTTGGGGGGCAGAAACCGAGTCTCACAGAGGAAGTGGAACAGATGACTAGAGAGAAGCACAGAAAAGAACTGGACAGAGGAACTAAGTGTCCTTAAACCTCCATTTCATTGAGTTGCTGTGACTGGTTTCTAATAGCTGTGACCAAGCAATCTCTGTCCAATCCATACTTATTGTACAGCATAAGCCCTGAGGGGCAAGGGAACCTCTTAATTCAGGACCAAACTTTTATGATTGAATAAAATAATAGGCTTTCAAGCTTTTAGCCAGCCCCTGCTACATGCTGTTAGAGGCAGGAAAACAGTTAGTCCCTACTAGGTGCCCGACAGATACTTAAACTTTGTATTATTTAATTCCCACAGAACTTACCCAAGAAGATTCTCATTACTATCATTTCATAGGTGAGAAAACACAAGTCAGAAAAGCTAATTAACATGTAGAGGCCATTAAACATAGCAATTAAGAGGATAGGCTATAGAATAAGACAGTTCTGAGTCTGAATCTCAGCCCTGTATCTTTAAAGGCTGTGTGACTTTGCTTGTTTTAAGTTTCTTTAACTTCAATTTCCTTGCCTATAAAACAATGAAAATAATAATAACTACCTCACAGGGAGTGGTGTTGATAAAATGAAATAAAGTAGTTCAAATGTCCTTGGTGGACACTCAATAAATGTTATTGTTGTTGTGTGCTGTCCTTTAGATTCTCATAATGACCACACAGGACAGAGTGGAACTGTGCCATAGGCTTTCCTTAGGCTGTAATTTTTACGGCAGCACATCACCAAGTCTTTTTTTCCCCACGGGCAGCTGCAGGTGGGTTCGAACCACTGATTTTTCAGTTAGCAGTTGAGCACTTAGCCATTGTTATTACTAGGACACCTTCAGTAAATGTTAGCTCTAATAAAGGCCAGGTAATAGACCTGGGCTTCACAGGCAGGTCCATCTGTTTTTTAAGCCTGTTTCCAATATAGGGTACTTTGCAAGGAAGATACAAGGATCTTAGCTAAGTAGGTTTACCTGCTCTCTCTGTAAATGTGAAGCTCAAAGTGCACAAAGGGCTGAAACAGAAACATTTATGAGCGTCTCGGTCTGTGATCCAGGTTATATTGTTTTAACTGCCAAATGATAGGCAAAGAGAGAAAACACTGAAACGAGCTTTACGCTGATTTTCTCAAACATATTTTCCTGAAGCTATCAGGCTCAACCAGAGAATCTGAAATAAGTGGGTCTTGGAGTAATGAAAACCTGGTGGCAGAGAGATTAAGCATGTTGTTGTTATGTGCCGTCAAGTCGGACCCAATTCATAGCAACCCCTCCTTGGGTTTCCGAGGCGTTATCACTATGGAAGTAGATTGCCCAACCTGCTAACCAAAAGGTTGGTGGTTCAAACCGAGGTGAAAAGTATGGCAGTCTGCTTCCACGAAGATAACAACCTTGGAAACTCTATTCTACCCTATAGTGTCACGATGAGGCAGCATCACCACACCAGACTTGAGTTTTTGAGTTTGGAGTAATGGTACACCCAAACGATATCCCTAAATAGGAGTCATACACCTTTAAGAGGCTAAAAAGAAAAAAGCTTGCATGACCTTCTTTTCCTCAAGAATTTGACCTACAATTCTAAGAACTACAGTTTTGGGACTCTGAATGCTGCTTGCATCCAACCACACTTTTAGTACTTTAAAAACACTCATACATGTCCTATTGTGCATTAGCTGTGACCTTGGTCAAGTTACTCAGCCGAAACTTAATGTTCCTCAACCTTGAACAAGCCACTACACTTCTTATTACCTAACAATGTGGCTGTCAAGAAAACTGAAAATGAATGTAAAGGTACTTTATAAAGCTGGAGATAAAATAGGGTTTTTTTTAGAGATTAACTAGGCATTTATATGCATAAAGACATAGATTAAGCTAAAATTGTTCAAACTCAGCCTTGACCACAACTACATGCTTAGTCCATTGAGTCCTTCCATGGAATCTCTGAATGTGTGGGTGATCTTGGGGACCCCCAACACATACAATGGCTCAGTTTATTCCTCTCTCAAAAAAAAAAAACCCAAGTTCACTGTCATCAGGTTGATTTGACACATAGCAATCCCTTTGTGTGTTTCCGAGGTGCTATCACTGTGGAAGTAGATTGCCCGGACTTCCTTCTGAGGAGTAGCTGGTGAGTTTGAAACACCAGCCTTCTGGTTAGCAGTCAAATGCCTTAGGCACTACGCCACCAGAGCTTCCAAGTATCTCACACACTGCTGCTTAGTATAATTATCTTTTAAAAATGTCTTTATTTGCCTTCTTCGGTAATTTCAAAATCTGATAGAGAAGATTATCAGTGGAAGGTGAGGTTTTAGAAGCTTCACATGATGTAAATTTTAATAGCTCTTGCAGTTAGGTCACCAATATTAGAGGCCTGGGCAAATACTTATATTGCCATTCTTACTTAAAAATAAGGTTTTCATGTTATTATTAAAGGCTTTTTAAAAAAGCTAGTTGAAATATTCAAAATTTTATGTAAATATCTCAGTCTGAAAACAATGTATACATTAAGAATTACCTGGTGATCTATAAGGATCACTTGGGGTCTTGTTAAAAGGTAGATTCTGATTCATTGTCTCTGGGGTGGAAATACAAATTCTCAGCCGGGGGTGGGGGGTGTTGAACCGGAATGAACAGGTTAGAAGCCCTAAGGAGAACACTCAAGCACCACAGGCTTCCTAGCCATGCTTACAGAGCTCTTCTCTGGGGCGCAAAGAAATGAAAGGAGTGCCTGAAAAAGCAACAGATACCCCTTGCTCCAGACACACACTTGGGGGCTTACTGACTAATGACACTCTTCCGCATCTACTTGTGGTCCAAAATGAAATCCCTTTAATCTTTCATCACATTATTTTCAAAATAAAGAGAAAATATGAAGAATTCATTGACCTTAAATCAGTGTCAGAGAAAATCTGGGGAAAAAGTTAATGCACAATGAAACATAATACACAGTAAATAATTTTCAAAAGAATATGTGCAACTTTTTATAAGCTGCATAAATTACAACAAAAAGTTGGGGGATACAAATTTGGTATATAGACTATTAAAATATTTATTAAAAGCCAAATCTCCTTTTCCCATGTTAAGAGAAAACATATGACTGGAAACATTCAAATAATAATTCCAAGTCCATTATGAAACAATGTATCACTAAAAGAAATTTTGAAACTTAAAACTAGGAAAGCCTATTCACAATTACAAGGGAGGAAGGCCAGGGGAGGAGAATACCGACCCAAAATGAAGCCAGCACAATTCTTTACATTTTACAGTCTTTTAATAATGAAGCACATAAAACTGTACTACTTAATGTATTTCTCCATGAACTTTTTGTGAAATTCCGATCGCAGCGTATCATTTACAAATCTTTTGTCTTTCTTCTGATCATCTACACCTTTTGCACAGTTCTTGAAAACAACATCATCATCCCACCTGAAAGGAAAAATTATAAAAGAAAACAAAAATATTATAAGGTTCTCAAAATGGAAGATTACAATGAAAAACATGCAGAACATAAATAATTTAGAATTGCTCCCATTACATTATTTTGCATGTTGTTGTACTCATTTAATCTACTCACTCCAATTTTAGACAGTAAAACATCTGAAACCTTAGATACTTTGTAATAAAACAGGACTCTCTTATAATGCTTTTATCAGGAAACTATAGTATCATGAATTCATTACTCCTTATGATCTGTCCTTACTACAATTCTACAATAAATCTTAGCTGTGAGGACAACTATATGCTTAGTCCATTGAGTTCTTCCGGGGAATCTCTGAATGTGAGAGTGGTCTTGGGGACCCCAAACACATACCACAAGAGCTCAGTTTATTCCTCTATCTCTAGTATTTACAAAAATATCTGGCATAATGCTAGTTATTACTGAAAATATCTTTACTTTCCCTCTTTGCTGATTTCAAAATCTGATAGAGAAGATTAACAGTGGAAGGTGAGGTTTTAGAAGCTTTACGTAATGTACTTTGCAATCCAACTCATAATCTGTAAATATATCCAACTTGTTAGTATATCGTACCTTCTTTTAACTTTGAAGTTCGCCTGAGGCTGGGATGGGCCAGTGAGATTAAGGAGAGGGTTTCCACTCAGAATATTTTCCATACGGATCCTCTCTTCTTCAGCTTTTTGTTCCTGTTCCTGTCAAAGATAGGGGAAAATTTACATTTATTTACATTAATTCCTGGGGTCAAATTTCTTAAATATCTCCTATTTTTAAAAAAAGATAGTTATGATTTTTTAGGGGAAAACAGGTAAGCATCAAGTTAAGTTTTTGGTTTTTTTCCCCTTTTTAAGACATTGATCATAAAAGTCTCCCATATCAAAATAAAATAATTGGTATTTTTATATAAATATTTTATGCTTGCCTCATACATTCATTAGTCTCCTCAAACTCTGAAATTCTATGAAGTGTATATCTGAAGAATCTATTTCCTTTCTTCAAGTACACACAAAATTAATCGCTTTAAATTTTGAGATTATCTCAATAAACATATTCTAGTAATTTTAGAACATATTAAATATTAAAAAGGTACACTTAGCATAGCTATTACCTCAATAATTAAAGGCAGTAAGCTATACGCCTTGTGATTGAAATAATTTTATTTTAAACTACTAATAATGTGAGCTTTTGTCGCTAGGATTGGTGACAAGTTATCATTAATCAAGTATTGCCTAACATAAGACAAATGACCATGTAAAAAATTATAGTTAATTTAGTACTTCCTATTAAGTTAGCTGAGGTTTATCTATTTTGTTATGATTGTTACTTCCCATTTTTTACCTCTTATCCTCCCATAAATTGTAATACTTTCTTCACTTTACTCTAACTTTTCTGTCAACACTGTTTAAACTCAAATCATCCTCAGTCCCATTCTTAGAATTGAACTAAAACATGTATAAAATCCTCAGCTACTTTAGATTTACTTGATTCCATGCTACCTTAACCCAGATAAATCCTTTGCTATGTTTTGAAAAAGACAGCAACTGATGACTTAAAATCATGGCAAAAGGGACTGCCTGGCTTTTTTTTTATGTTTGGAATATTATTTCCTTTGTAGTACTATAACTAGATGATTGCCCCATAGAACACTGGGAAATAATGTACCAATTCTTTCAGTATTGAAGTACCAGGCACACTATACTTCACAAATGTTTATCAGACTGGCCCACTACTGTTTCTGTAAATAAAATTTTATTGGAACATAGCCACATCCTTTCGCTTACGTATTGTCTATGGTTAATTTCATACTATAATGGCAGAGTCGCGTAGTTCTGAAAGTCACCATAAGGCCTGCAAGACTAAACTATTTACTTTCTGGCCCTATATGGCAAGTTTGCCAATCATTGACATAAACTGACTGGTTTGAAAATGTTGTTTTGGGACACCTTAAAAACTATCCGATAATAAGACAGACAGAGGAAACAGGGACAAAAGAATTAGAACTGGCATTCAACCCCAAGAAACACCCACTTATCTCTGTACAAAGAAATTAGATGCACTTTAAAAAATTCTAAGACCTCCTGCCTCAAATGTTTATACTCCCAAAAAGTCAACCAAATGCTTTTAATTTGCTTATGTCTTTAAGTATCCAAAGATGCTGGTAAGACAAAAGATTTTGGAATTAAAACACTGCCCTCTAGCAGTGTGCAAGTGATATTAGGAATGCTCTTATAATTCTTCGATTGTAGAAATTACAGTCTCCCATACCAAACTCTGGATTCCCCAGGTGGTGCAAACAGTTAATGCACGTGGCTGCTAAGCTAAAGACTGGAGGTTCAAGTTCACCCAGAGGTATCTCAGAAGGTCTGGTGATCTACTTCCAAGACATTAGTCCTTGAAAACACTATGGTGCAGAGTTCTATTCTGATACACGAGTTTGTCATTCAGAAATTTTTAATAGTAACCTTTTTTTTGGTAAATGCTAATCTTTGATGAGAATTGTACTTTAAAATAATTTTCTTCTTCCAATCTGAGTTTCATCAGTCCAAAGCCTATCCCAAAAAGGGTTAGCAAATTCTTCCCTGATGTTTCTGATCCACATAAACTCAATCTTCCTAAGATTTTTTTTTTTGGGGGGGAGGGGGTCACTGGCCTTTCCCCAAGTTTTTTCCCTTTCTTTCTATAAGACAGAACAACCCTTTGCTCAAATGAAATCTTCCACAAAAGTCTGTAAAAAAGCCAAGCTGCTCTGGTTGAAACGGAACACCTCTACTTAAAGGTCTCACAGGCTACTCAAATGCATGTTCAAAATGCAACAATATCAGTCCTATCAATCTCCTACTGACATCAACTAACTCCCGTACTCTTCAGAACAAAATCAAAACTCCGTTAGCAAGGTTTGCAAACCAAAAATGCTCTGACCTGTGTTTGTCTCCCTAAAGTTATGTCTATGGATAGTTCACCCAAAATCAAAAGTTACAGATTATGGATCCACAGTAACATTATTCATGGAAATTAGTAAATATGATTTATCTGTCACTGATATCCTGCTATTTTAGCACCTTGATGACACTTCAGATCACCCTTTGGAGAATGTTGAGAATCAATTTTTATCCATGAGACTCAAAAAGTCACAGAAAGATTAAATCAATTCAGTCAGTCAACTGTAGTGATGGCTTCTTTTCAGTGGTCATGATGGTTAAAAGAACACATTCAAGATGCCATATATTCCTTTTCTGTTTTATCAGCTCAATGGATTTTTCCCCTCAGATGATGGTTATTTTAACAAAACTAACTTTTTGTACATGTTTCAAATAATACGAATCTCATTTCTTAAAACATTTATTGTAACAGCATTTTATGGTACAGCCATAGTTGGGGCTGATATTAAAACATCTGTGATGTTTTAAGAGCTTTCTAATAAAATGTGATATACCACTATATATGTTTACATATGTATATATTCTAGTGACACTAATGAGTAACATACTACTCAATATCAACCCAGTAAATGGTTGATTTCCATTCTGGATTGTTGGAATAATATCCTATAAAAGTTTTATGCACTGAAGATAGGCATTCAAAGTGATACTGCTAATCTTCCAAAGGAGTACTATTAGGCATTTCTGCACTATTTGAAAGATTTTCTACCATAACACAGCAGACATACAAGTTCAGAAAATTAATCAGATATCTATCTCTAAGGGTGTTATAGTATCTAGCCAAGGAAAGTTCCTAATATAAGATATTACTTCAATTAAAAAAATCTTTACTTTAGTATGCAGGAGATGATGGGGAAGATACAAATATTTAACACTTGAATTTTTACCTTCCTGGCCTGCTCCTCAGCTCTTTCTTTTTTAATTTTTTCCAGTTCTGCAAGAAGAGCTGCCGTATCATCATCATCACTCTCCTCTTCAAAATCTTCATCTTCATCCTCCTCCTGAAAAAGAATGGTAATGATTCAGAAAAGTAAAGAAAAAATATGTATTATTCATTTTTGTCATAGAAATTGCACTTGCCAAATCTTTGGGGGTATAAGTGAAGATTAATGCACTCAATTATCATGATTAAAATCAACAACCAACCAAAATATAAAACAAAACCTTACAACCTAGCCTAAAAATACTTAATAAAATATCCACCCTTGTACAGCACGTAGTATAACAAAATATTTTTAACATTTACATGGCCAAAAGGAAATATGTTGTTGTTATGTGCCATCAAGTCGGACCTGACTCATAACAACCCCTCCTTGGGTTTCCAAGGCGCTATCACTATGCAAGTAGATTGCCCAACCTTCCTTCTGAGAAGTGACTGGTGGGTTTGAACCACCAGCCTTCTGGTTAGCAGTCAAGTGCCTTAGGTACTACATATGAAAATATTTCTAAAAGTAAAAACCCTTTACACCAAAACACAGTACACATATGTACAGTGTATCATTCTCAGAGGATAAAATAAAGTTATGAAGACCAAAACAAACTTTAACAAGTCTGGATATTCTAATTGAATTCAAAAATCAAAAAAAGATACTAAATTCTCAGAAGAAAAACATAGTGAATGAATAATGATTAAATCTCAAATAAAACTGTTCATTATTCTTAGCAATTAATCTGAGTTGACTAGAATTAACTGTTGATACATGTGCTTAATCAGAAGCTACCTATGAACAGCCACTGATTTTTCCATTACAGAAATCTGAAAGCTAATTATAGACTGAGAGTCCCCCTGAATTTTAATGTTAATTGAAGTGCTAATCCTTAAACAACCTTTGGATAGTATCACTTCCCTCATTAAATAGAGAAAGGGCGTTCATAGCACATGTGAAGGTAGGTACCACAAGTACCTTACTTAATGTGAAGAGCCCCCGGAGTATACCTCTAGTAGTGCTATTTACACAAAGTCCAGTATGAAGAGTTCTCTACCATGGTAGCCTAATCTCCGGGTTTCATATAAAGAAATCCTCTTTTTAAAGCATATTCTTTCCTTTCTCCACAAAATACTAATTTTTGCTTTAAAATCAATTTTAAAGGGTAGCACTGAGGTCAGGGCTACATTTGAGTAGCAAATAAAAATAAACACAGGTAACTTAAAAGAAAAGAAAGTATTTCAGAAAACAACCAATTACTAGAGCAAAATGAAAGGAAATAAAACATACGTCTGTTAGAGGATCATCTGCATCAAGGTTGGCAGCAGGAATCTGGTCTAATCTAGGCTTCTTTGACACTGAAGAAGAAGTTGTATGTTCTGGGGAAAACAAGTATCATTTAGCTTACTGAAACAAATATTGCCAATTCTTTTAACCGTTTAGAGACTTGTGGGCACAAAGAACTTGGATTATAAGCATCTCAACAGCAGAAATCATACCCAAAAGCCAGCACAAACCAAAAACCAAACTCACTGCCGTCGAGTCGGATCCAACTCATAGCGACCCCTCCTTGGGCTTCCAAGACGGTATCACCACAAAAGTAGACTGCTCAATCTTCCTTCGGCAGAGTGGCTAGTGAGTTTGAACTGCCAGCCTTCTGGTCAGCAGTCAAGTGCTTTAGGCACTATCTATAAGCCTATGATCAGTATTTGTTCAATTATTTAAATGAAAATATATTGATTTTAATATGGGAACTATGGCTTTACTCAGGAAATATAAGAAGTAGTTTACATATGTTGAAACATAAAAAAAAAGATAACTAATGCCTATAGGTTGTCTTTAATTGTTTTTGGGTACCATCAAGCTGATTTCAACTCACAGTGATTCCCTTTGATAGCATAAAACTGGATCATAGTGTTTAGTAAGCTATAATCTTTATAGAGGCAAACTGCCAGGTCTTTTCTCCCATACAACCTCTGGGTAGGTTTGAACCACCATTCTTTCAGTTAGCAGCCAAGTGCTAACAAGGGCTCTTTGTCCTCCAAGAGCCAGAGACAAAAATATGATAACCTTAAAAACAGAAATCATGAGGCCTTAAAAAGCCTCAGTGCTGTAAACAGTGAAAACTCTTTAATCTGAACTGAAAGGGTGGCTTAAGTGTCCACAGATCACCTTTGTTCCTTCCAACATACATAGAAGCATAAAGAAGAAGAAACTAGAATGAATCTCAGATATCATCTCTAATCTAATCAGAACACCAGTATTTAAAAACATGCAAACATATTAAACTTTTCCAATTACTACATGAAAAAACCTAACAACATGTCAGTTTATGAGACACGTTTGATATAGCATTAGTACCTCGGGTTGGACGATCTCTGTTTTTTTCTCTTGCAGCAGCTCTCTCTCTCTCTTCCAGCTCTCTCCTGAAGTCACGATTGCGAACTTCTTCAGGGGCATCCTGAGTGGTTTGTCTGAAGTAGAAACAAACCAGGGCAAACTGTTAACTAAAAAATACACTGTGTGATGTTTCTAATACTCCAAGAAGCTCAAAATAAATAACATATTTTCCTGTAATAAGGATGCAGATTAAAATATCTTTAACTTTTTGTCAATATTATTAACTAAGGGCTTATTAAATGCTTCTTTCCCACTCACGTGTTATTCTTCATTTTATTTTCCTGAACAGCTTTATTTAGTAACACTTTAAACCTCATACTGACCAGCACATTTCCTCAGAGAGACCATATACTATCAGGATCCATTATTACTGTATCTATCTATATAAATTCCCAGTTAATAGGAATTTGTTAATGAAATGTCTGGTAGCAGTTTACAGTCATAGAGTACAATTTTCATGTTAAACAGACTGTACTGATGCTGCTGGGTGCTCAAGTCCACTTCTGACTCACATCAATCAGCTGACCAAGTAGAGCTGTTCCACTGGGCTTTCTAGGCTGTAATCTTTACAGAAGCAAATCACCAGGTCTTTCTCCCTTGGAGCCACTGGAGTCACTGAGTGGGCTTGAATCATCAACCATTCAGTTCACAGCCAAGTGCTTAACCACTGCACCACTAGCGTTCCTGAAATATACTTATTGTGTTCTATTTCTAAAAAAATTGTTGTTGTTGTTGTTATGTGCCGTCGAGTCGGCCCCGACTCATAGCGACCCCTCCTTGGGTTTCCGAGGCAGTATCACTACAGAAGTAGGATTGCCCAACCTTCCTTCCGAGGAGTGGCTGGTGGGTTTGAACCGCCAGCCGTCTGGTTAGCAGGCAAGTGCCGTAGCCACTATGCTACCAGAGCTCCCTCTAAAAAATTAGGTAACTTAAAATGATGTAACACAAATATGGCACTATCTCATATCCGTAACATTTAATAGATTTGGTCTTGTTTTGTGAACCAGAAAAAAAAAACGAAAATATCTTTTACCTATATTTTATCTTTGTATGAGAAGGTAGGTCTCTGCTTGAATACTGCTTTGAGAGCTGGCTCAGATCACCTTCTCCTTTCCCTCTTCCACCTCTTGCAGGTTCAAAAGTTGGTCTAGCTGCTGTTGTCATCTTATAAGCTTAGAAGAAAAAAACAGTATCAAGTTATTTCCAACATGATAAACTGTAATTTTATAAAGCATTAGTTAATATCCATCTTTGTGAGATAATTTTCCAAACTCATTCCCCAGAGTTATTTAATTAAACAATGGTTTCAAACAAATGTTCCTGGCATATTATGAGGATCAGATATACAAGGAAGACAGTTAGGCAGCTTTTACTAGGACATAAAATTCTGCAACAAGGATCTGAGTCTGTGTTCCACTTTTCCTTCTTCTGGCTGTGTGGCCTTGGGCAAGGCACCTAGCTTAGATCTTTGCCATCTGTAGAATGAGGATATTCTTCATCGTAGGAGAATTTATGAAACTAGACATGTCAAAGCACTTGTGAAACACAGACATTCCATGACTGAGTTTTAAAAACTCAATCTTACTCCAGCGGTAAGGTTTGCAGTTTTTTTATACCTCACACAACAGCAAATAAGCTAGTAACCACCCCCCCCCCAAAAAAAAAAAACTCAAATACTTTTAAAAACACTGAGGAAGTTGTATTATCCTGGAGAAGAGTTAAACTGGAGAAGTGTGCTAAACTTCAATGGAAGTTACATGGGCAAAATTCTCCAACAATCTTTGGAGGAAACAGTCATCATAACATAAACTAGATCTTCTGTAGGACAGAATTTAAGGACTACGGTAACTAAAGCTCAAAAGACCCATTCATTACGCTACTTCTCACTCTATGTTTATAGGGTCAAAGCCCAGCAGATGTGGCTACTAAAATTGTTAGCATCGAAAAAGCAAGTTGGAACCGGATCTTTTCCGAATATTTTTCTTGTTTTTAAAAAAGGTAAAGGCATGATACAGAGGGAGAAAAGGGGTTTCCTGACCCCAAGGACGCCACTGCCTCCCTCTCTCCCCCGGATTATTTAACATCATTCCCGCCTGCCGAGAGCCAGCCCTAGGGATGTCACCTGGAACTCGCTGATGCTTCACCCGATTCGGCAATAGAGGGCCGAGGGCTGGATCTACACAGTCGCTTTCGCGGATAGCTTCCTCGGCCGACCCAGCAGCTCACTAGTGCTTCACAGACGCGGGGCTCTGCTACCACCCTTCCGCCCAGGGGACTTCTCTGTTCGCTCACCGTCGCCACCCCTGACCCCAGCCGTCCTGTCCTGCCACACCTCCCAGATAAGGAAGAGTATTCGGTACCCGCTTGCTGTTCACTTTAGCCGAAGTTCGAGGTAACAGCCTCAGGGGATCATACAAACACCATTACGCCTCTAGCCTCCCAGAAACCTCTGCGCCTAGCTCCAAAACCCATGACCTGGAAGCATAATCCAAATGCCTCCGCAGCATTCTCAGAGGCGGAGGCAATGACCAATCCGCAGAGAGCAAGGTGGAAGTCGGCATGACGACAGTAAGGGGCGGTGCCGAAACGGCCCAGGGGGCGGGCGTTTGAAATCGGTGCCTTAGAGTAGACCCTAAACATCATTTTATACCTTCAAGAGCCAATTACTTAATGTCTCTTCCGTCTTTTCCATCCCCGACCCCCTCCCATACTCCTTCATTCCGGTACTGCGTGGACGGAAAGCTCTGGGTAGCCGACACCACGTCCCTGACTAGCGAGAGGGAGCGTGGAACCGGATTACACCAAATTGTTTAAATCCAACGGCTCCTGCTTCTTTTCTCCTGAGCTAGACCCAACAAGCCTAGAGAGTTGTGCTACGGAAAAACTAGTGTTTTCATTTAATTGGATATGAAGAAAGAACAAATATGTACGGGGGCAACCACGATCTTTATAAAGGTACCATTCCTGCAAAAATAGCAAAGGTTGTATTCGTATTGTTTGTTAAAATTTTTATTTTAAAAAACAGTGTTAAGTTCTAGTGGGAGGGAAGATGTAATGTTAGCGATTAATTCATTTATTCACGTGACATTGAGCGTTTAGAACGGTGGGCCCAACTGCCAAGCGCACGAGATGCAGTTATTAGTAAGATGGCTACTCAAGCGTTAGGTGAAGTTTTAATAAGACAAGAAAGAGAAGAAAACTCACTTATCTCCTCTCTTCCTGCCCAAACTAAAAAGCACTCTGATAGCAGGAATCTTGTTTGTTTAGTTCATCTTGGTATCTTATCCCATCCAGAAACCAAACCAAACTCATGTTGTGGAGTCTTTCCAGACTCATAGCGACTCCTCCTTGGGTTTCCGAAGCAGTGTCTCGCAGTGCCTAAAGCACTTGACTGCTAACCAGAAGGCCAGCGGTTCAAACCCACCAGCCACTCCTCTGAAGGAAGGTTGGGCAATCTACTTCCGTAGTGATACCGCCTCAGAAACCCAAGGAGGGGTCGCTATGAGTTGGGTCCAACTGGACGGCACATAACAACGACAACATCTTTACGAAAGTAGACTACCCAGTCTTCCTTCCCATCTTTCACATAGTCCTTGGTATATAGTATGTGCTTGATAAATAGTTGTTGAGCAAATGAAAATGTAACTTCCCCAACTCAGTTTGTAATATAAAGACCTCACAAATTGAACATTTAAAAGCTTTTTTTTTCTTTAAACTCTTTCTTTAAAACATCTTAAATAAATGAAAAGGTTGGAGAAAAATCCCTTCCCCTGTTAAGTCCAAGATGAAAATCTTGAGTTTTGTTACTGACAATATTCCTCCTCCACTAAGACATCACAGTAAATAACACTACTATCTTACTAATGGAAGAGGTCTGGTTGTGCAGTGGTTCAAGCGCTTGGCTGAGAACCCAAAAGTTGGTGGTTCAAACCCACCACCCACTCCACCCCAGAAAGATAGGGCAGTCTGCTTCCATAAAGATTGACAGCCTTAGAGACCCTATACAGCAGTTCCATTCTGGCCTATAGGGTTGCTGAGTCAGAATTGAATTGATGGGCAGAGAGTTTTGGTTTTAACCATGCCAGCTGCTCAAATCAAAATTCTTATATTTAAGTTCCTTTCCTGCACTCTTCATATCCATTTTATCTGCAAGTCTTGCCAGTTCTCTGGTCAAATGCACCCTAACTTGGGCCGTCATTTTCATTCCGCTGCCACCACCCTAATTCAAGCTACCTGATTGTAATTGCCTCCTGATAGATCTTCCTGCTTCCACTTTCATCCTTTAGTGAATTTTACACATAGGAGTGAGAGTGACATTTTAAAATTATGAATCAGATGGTATTACTTTCCTGCCTAAAATTCCACTGCACTTAAAATAAAAATCAGATTTCTTAATGTGACTGGAGGCCCCATGGAATCTTGACTTATACCCACCTCCTAACTTCACTTTGAATCACTTACTCTCTTACAAACTAAACTCCACCCATAGCCAAGTAGGCATTCTGTTTCTTGAGACAAGATTCTTGCTGTATTAGAGTCCTGTTGTTGTTGTTGTTATGTGCCGTTGAGTCAAATCCGACTCATAGCGACCCCTCCTTGGGTTTCCGAGGCAGTATCACTACGGAAGTAGGATTGCCCAACCTTCCTTCCGAGGAGCGGCTGGTGGGATTGAACCGCCAGCCGTCTGGTTAGCAGGCAAGTGTCTTAGCCACTATGCTACCAGAACTCCCATTAGAGTCCTAGCACTTACTTTTTATTCTCTGTTGCCTGTGCTCCAAAATAACTGCATTACCATCCTAAGGTCTCAGCTCAAATGTCACCTCAGTGAAGTTTTCCTTAATACCCCCCACATGTTGCACCCTCAGCCCCCTAACACATAAATACCTTCACATCACTTTTCTTTTTTTCATAGTCAGAACACTCCCTGAACCAGCTTTGTTTTTATTTGCCTTGTTTCTTATCTAAAAAGCAGCATAGCAAAGTTTTTAAGAAAGAGATCTACAGCCAGATTGGTTCTAAGTTTCTGTTCTGCCCTTTTAGCTTATAGCCTTGGTAAAGTTCTTTTCCTTTCCTGTCCCCTCAGTTTTCTCATGTATGAAACGGGGATAATTCTAGTCCCTACCTCTTAATGTTATTGTAAGGATTAAGTGAGTTAATACTTGTAACATGCTTAGAACTGTCTCAACAAACAGTACTTGCTAAATAAATGTTAGCTAACATTATTATTAATATTATTTTTATTATTGTCTATCTTCCTGTATTAGAACATAAGTTCCAGAAAAGCAGGAACCTTGTCTCTCTTGTTCACTGGTGTATCCTCTGCATATAGAGCAGTGCCTGGCACATAATAGGTGCTGAGTAAGTATTTGTTGAATGAATGAATGAATGATGCATTATGAAGTAGAGGAATGAAGTAGCAATGATAAGATGGTGACAAAACTATAGAAATTACCCATAGTTTTTGTGACAGCTGCCCTTATCAGCCCTGAAGTCCTTCGCCTAATCACCCTAATCCATTTAACCCCAGCCCACCACCTAATCTTTTGACCACCAGCCGTGATCAAATAACCATCCTTGTAATTCAACACCCTTCAACAACAACGTACAGTATAATTAGGCCACAAAATTAAAAGCTGTTGACTTAATGGTCTAAAAGTATTATAAGAAAAAGAAACTATTACATGTTGCTTTCCCCTTTACACAAAATGATCAAGGCAAAGGACACTGAGAGGAACACAAGAGTTAAAAGCAGCAGAGGTAAATACTATTACATACACAATCCTCCAGTAACAGTAACAACAATATTCTACAAGTGGATACATAGACAGGCAAGCTGAACAGGTGTGGGAAGGTAAATGGGACTACACCCATAAATATATATAGGTTTGACAGAGAATATTTCTAATATATTAAACAAAATAAAGAAACTTACTTCCTGTTGTTGTTGTTATGTGCCGTCGAGTCAAA